TGAAGGGAACATTTCATGCAAAGATGGGCATGATAAAGGACCAAAATGGCAGGGACCTAACAGAGGCAGAAGAGATTAAGAAGAAGTGGCAAGATTATGCAGAAGAACTATACAAGAAAGAGCTTAACGTCCCTGATAACCATGACAGGGTGGTCACTGACTCGAGCCAGACATCCTGGAATGTGAAGTCAAGTGGGCCTTAGGAAGTCTGAGCAACAACAAAGCTAGTGAGGGTGACAGTATTCCAGCTGAGCTATTCAAAATCCTAAAAGACGATGCAATAAAAGGGCTACACTCAATATGCAAGCAAATTTGGAAAACTCAACAGTGGCCACAGGATTGGAAAAGGTCAGTTTATATTCCGATCCCAAAGGGCAATGCCATAGAATGTTCAAACTACCACACCACTGCACTCATTTCACATGCTAGCAAAGTTATGCTCAAAATCCTACTAGCTAGGCTCCAGCAGTATGTGGACCGAGAACTACCAGAAGTACAGGCAGGATTTCGAAGAGGGAGAGGAACTAGAGATCAAATTGCCAACATACGCTGGATCATGGAGAAAGCTAGGGAGTTCCAGAAAAACAACTACTTCTGCTTCATTGACTATGCTAAAGCCTTTGATTGTGTGGATCACAACACATTGTGGCAAGTTCTTAAAGAGATGGGAGTACCAGACCATCATATTTGTCTCTTGAGAAACCTATATGCTGGTCAAGAAGCAACAGTGAGAACAGGACACAGAACCACTGATTGGTTCAAAATTGAAAAAGGAGTTCGGCAAGGCTGTATACTGTCGCCCTGTCTATTTAGCTTATATGCAGAGCACATCATGAGAAAGGCAGAGCTAGATGAATCACCAGTTGAAATTAAGATTGCTGGGAGAAATATCAATAACCTCAGATATGCAGATAATACCACTCTCATGGCAGAAAGTGAAGAGGAACTAAAGAGCCTCTTGATGCGGGTGAAGAAGGAAAGCACAAAAGTTGGCTTGAAACTCAACATTAAGAAAACCAAGATCATGGCATCCGGTCCTCTCACTTCCTGGCAAATAGATGGGGAAGAAATGGAGGTAGTGACAGATTTTATTTTTCTGGGCTTCAAGATCATCACAGACGGGGACTGCAGCCAAGAAATTCAAAGACACTTGCTCCTGGGCAGGAAAGCTATGGCAAATCTAGACAGCATACTAAAAAGCAGAGACATCACCCTGCCAACAAAAGTGCGTATAGTCAAGGCTATGGTTTTCCCAGTTGCAATGTATGGCTGTGAAAGCTGGACCATAAGGAAGGCTGAGCACTGAAGAATTGAGGCCTTTGAATTGTGGTGCTGGAGGAGACTCCTGCGAGTCCCTTGGACCGCAAGGAGATCAAACCAGTCAGTCCTAGAGATCAACCCTGGCTGCTCTTTAGAAGGCCAGATCCTGAAGATGAAAGTCAAATACTTTGGCCACCTAATGAGAAGGAAGGACTCCCTGGAGAAGAGTCTAATGCTGGGAACAATAGATGGCAAAAGAAAAAGGGGACGGCAGAGGATGAGGTGGCTAGATGGAGTCACTGAGGTGGTTGGTGTGAGCTTGGGTGAACTCTGGGAGATGGTGGAGGACAGGAGGGCCTGGAGGATTGTTGTCCATGGGGTCGTGATGAGTTGGACGCGACTAACAACAAGGACAAAGGAAAGGAGGTAGAATACTTGGAGGACATATTAGTGACTAGGGAGAGTCAAAACTTAGTATTATCAATTATTATAAAGGTGTGAGAGATAGGAGCTGACAGAAACTTAAGTGGAGAAGGAAAAGATTGAACTGAGATAGACTAAAGACAGGTCAAAAAACATTCAGAAGAGAAAGGAGGATTTGAGAGTGAGGGGTGATGGTGAAGGGAAAGAGTGAGATCACCACAGTCAGAAATAATTAGCATGCACTGTTTTATTCACTAAGGAACATCTTGAAACCAATACACTTATTGTACAAATAAAGTTTTATTTTGCTTATTGTTAACCCAAACTCATAAGCCATTTGAATTCCAGTGTCTCATCCTGAGGACCGCATAGCCCAATGAAGGAGTCCTACAGCTTGGGCACAATACTGAGGCAGAGGTTAATTAATAAGGTTGGAATTAATTTCCTGGTGGCACTGTTACATGCTGAGAGAAAGAGAGGGAAATTTCAAGAAGTTAAAGACACAAACAGGTAATAGGAGTGTACTCATGACAGTCAAGAGTCCCAGCTGTGATTTCAGAAACACACTCCAGAGTCAGAGGCAGGACTGTGGCCTCAGTGGGCCCTCGCAGCCAGCACGATTCCTTCAAAGCTGGCTGGGTGCCTTGGATGGAAGGCTTGTCTTTGAAGGGAGGGGAGGAGCAGAGCAGCACTGTCCTCTGAAGAATCCTGGTAATGCCTTGCCTCTCTTCCTCACAAGGAAGGAAAGACTGCTTAGGCAACTGAAACTGGCTGTCCAAATGTTCTGGAAAGTGAGGGCAACACTGTGGCACTCTCAGTCTCTGCCTTCCTACTGCCATCTTCTTGATGTTCATAACCCTTTGAATTTGGAAGGTTACAGGCACCCATGTTGGATGGTAGTCTTAGGGTACACTCTTATGTAAGTTTAGACAGAAAAAAGCCTTATAACTTCCAGCATTCCCAAGCAGCCAGCCATTTACAAAGAAGTAAGTTTCACTGGGTTATGTGGGGCTTATTTCTAGTAAACATAGATTACAATCTACTTACAGGTTTTCATATCTACTTTGATAATGTCCATACCTTTATTAACATTTTGGCCTCCTGGGCCACTACTCCGGCAATAGGATATAGACAAACGATCTGAAAATCCAAAAGATGAAGAAGCAACATTAGTATAGCAGCAAGAAGGATAACCGATGAGTTATGTATTAATGTATTTTGAGAGAAAGAAAAGGTGAACAGAAGTTGTATAGAATGAAGCATTACTGTGGAAGAAGTGACCTCTTGAAGTAGGAGGATAGCTCACATAAACAAAGACATTTCAGTCCTATGAACATTTTGACTGACATGAATTAGTTACTTTTCATTTGCTGAAATACTCTTCTAATGCATTGCCTTTAATATTCAACAGTAACAGACTACCCAAAGAGTTGAGGCCAGACAAAACATTCCTATGCTGACTTTGTGACTATGACACCTTTTAGACAAAACTCAAGGAAATAAAAGGCTAGAAATATTGCATTTTCACCAGTCTCTTCTGTTTTGCCCTTAAGCTGCTTTAAAATGAAACATGTTCAACTGAATCCTATACATTTTGACTCCAAATGCCAGTATGGTGTAGTGGTTAGAGAAGTGGACTGGGACACAGGAGACTGGACTCTAGTCCCCACTTGGCCATTAAGTTCCCTGGGTGACTTGGGCCAGTCATTGATTCTCAGGCTAACCTGCCTCACAGGGTTGGCACTGTGAGGATAAAATAAGAGTGGAGGAAGAGGATTAAATATACCAACTTGAGCTCCTTGGAGGAAAAGGTGGAATAAAAAGATAATATTTTCCATGGAGTGTGATTTAATTGCAAGAGGGCACAGGATTATAGCCTTTTAGTATATATTTGTCCCTACTTTTAAAATACAATAACTATTATACTTGGGTAATTAAAAAAGAAAACATACATAATGTAAAATGTAATACCTACCAGATGGTAAACTAAAATGGTAATTTATGTCATCCTTTTATTTTTTAAGATGTGAATCTTAAACATATATTTATGAGTTTGGCTACAGAGATCTCCGCTAACTACTAATTATTTCCTAAGTCTTGTGTTACTGTTACTGGCAAAAGAAAAAAAAAAGTTTTCACATGCATTATAAGCCAGTATCTAATTAATGGGTTGTCAGTTTGTTTTCTTTTCTCAGCTTCTGTTCTGTTTGTCAATTCTCTACTTAAAGAATAGTTGAATAGTGAAATCCTATCTATAGTCAAAAGTCCTACTGTATTCAATGCAGCTTACTTTCAGATAGTGTGCACCTGATTGGCAGCACACACCTACGACTATGTAATTAGAAGTACATTCTATTCAGTTCAATGGTACTTTGTTTCATATAAATCTGCACAAGATTGCTTATTTACAAGCAAATAAAAATAAAATGGATGAAATGCCTGGGGTAATCACTTAAGAGAAGGTGAACACATTTCTCTTATATTCTACACTCACCCACAGGAATGTCTGGAACAGCTGGCTTGGCCCTGTCCTGTAACAGAAAGATACAAATAGCTGAGCACTGCAACTGAGTAACAGTCCAAAACCCTTATAATACTATTAGAATACGAGCAGAAATTTAAGGTACGAATTACAACAGTCCTACAACTCCCAGCATTCCCCAGCCAGCTGGCAATGAGTTGTAGGTCATTTTTCTGTCTAAATATGCATAGGAGTGTGGCCTGAATTATTCTGCTTTCCCATCTTTGACTTCTTAGAGCCAACACACATGGCCAAATTTTCAGTGTGGTGAAGTCACTGTGACATTACTTTCTATAAAAGGGAGTTCATTTGAGCTCTTTGGCAGCTTATCAATGTAATAAATAAATAAATAAATAAGACTTTGACTTGTTGAATCAGATGTGGATGACTGGATTATGGAAAGCCTTCAAATATCTAATAGCGATACACTGTAGTTATCAAGTCATTCACCACCATCAAAGAGAGCTCACTGTGACTTCAATATGCAGTACTGCTGTACAACCAGTCAAGGGACCCCTCTTCAACACTTTCTTTCTCCTACTACTCCACTTACGTATAAGCAAGACTCCGTTCTGCTCTCAAGCTCCATTCATCCTGTCTTCAATCTCCTCTTACCTATAGAAAGTATGACAACATTGCCCAGATGTGTCTTCTCATTCAGGAGCCATTTTCTAATGTTCCCCGGGCAGAAGGGATTGCTACTAATTGCAATCAATGGAGAGCTTCATAATTTAACTGTAGGTTGATTCAACCCCAGCATGTCTACTCCAAATGGTAGCATGGAGGAGATACTCATTCTGTATAAAGCAACACCCTCATCTCAACATTTAACAACTGCAAATGGAGTACATATGCAATCTGTTGTCCACATATTCAGGTTGGAGGCTACTATATCTTTGAGAAATGTAGTTCATTCCGATTATTGCTAAAAATTCATAAACCCTGCAATGTAAATTAGTATTAGAACTTTTATGGAGATTAGGTTCAGACAAAAGTTGGAAGAACAGCCTACAATGCTGTATTCTGCAGTCCAGTGAGGCTATCCCTGCATTACAGGCTGAAGAACGGGCTGAGAAAGTAATGCACAAAACGGCAGGCAGTCTAGATACATCCCTATGGTAGGTTCTGAAAAAGGGAGCTGTGCTGAAAGACAATAAATTACAGCAGCCCTACAATTTAGCCTGTTGTTAATAAAGCTGGTCAGAACTGCGCCAGAGACTGGTATGGACTTCCAGCCAAAAAGCACCCATACAATATTCAACTAGGCTCTTGAGCCTGCTTAACCAGACTCAGCAGACCCCCCTCAGTCCCAATCCAGCGTTCAACTGCACACAGAACGCTCGTGCCCAATGAACTCACAGGCAGACATGTTAAGCCTTTAAATGTTCAGTGACACACACAAGCACACACTGGGGTAAGGAACAGCAGGGGATCCCTCTCTCTAGTAATGCCTTTTAAGTTTTTTTGTTGGGGGTGAGAGGTGCGGCGAAATCTTAGATCGGTTACAAAAACTCGGATCTTTCCATTAATTTTTATGAACACCCCACTTTCGGTCCTGGGGAATAAAAACACATGGAAAAAGGAAATGTGCTCTTCTTTTATAGCCCCGTGCTCCTTCCACCACAAGTCCCCCCTCCAAGTTCCAACCTTGGTTTTGTCGGTTTCTTTTTGCGGCGACGACGGATAGAGTTTATCTAAGCTGTATTCGCTCTGGAATCCAGAGTTATAGACAGGAGGAGCGGAGGCGACAGCTCGACGCCGGAACGTCGCTGGTGCCTCTGCAAAGAGCAGCCGCTGAAGCCGCGTTCGCCAGAGCGACCGCAATGCGCACGCCGCCATCTTGGGCTCAGCTGCTTGCCGCTCTAAGGAGTCCGGCCGCAAAAGGGCGCCGTGTTGCCGGCGTTCCGGAGGAGGCGTGTTCCCCTTGAGCCACGCCGGGCTGAGGACAGGGCAGAACGGATATTATGCAGAAAGCAACGGAGGAAGTGGAGAACCTGTAGACGTGTTGCTTGAGGCGGCTTGTTGGCTTTTGCGCAGATGGACTTAATTTTACCTTGTTTATTCAGCTCTGAGTTCCGCTCCAAGTCATAAGCTTGCGCAAACAAATAGGCAAAGTAAACATGTATGCAATTTTCTCTTTTGAATGTCTCAGTATTCCCGGTCCTGTGCAATTTGCATGCAATCCAGATGCAGCCCAATCATCTCTGCAAATTTACGAGCAAGCAAATCCCGACGAGCTCGAGGGGGCTTACAACCCAATTAAGAATAGGACTACTCCTAATTTAGGAGTATACTCCACAGAACTCTGCGAGATTTACTTCGGAGTAAATCGGGCTATGAATTAAATTAACGGAGGTTGAATGTGATTGGGAAATAAGCCCACACCCCTAAAAACATACCACGGGGGAGTTAACTTTTTTGAACACTGAGCAAATGCTCTTTATTCATGAGCAGAATAAGCGTTCGTGCTTAACTCATTTGTATTTAACAGATTTGTCTGAACACCTTACATTTTCAAATACCCTTAATTCAAGACATTTCAAAGTTTTCAGAACAATTAAGATACGATTTCTTTCAAAAATAATTTTGGAGGCCAGATAAAGCAAAATACTTAATCAGCAGAAAAGTCAGATAACTGCTTGCACATTAAAATATTTTAGGATTCTTCTGCATATTTAAAAATCTGGTTAACTAGCTGTTTAGTGGTGCGAGAGCAGCAAAATACCAAATTCGAGTTTCAAAACTTGAATGTTTCCTTTTGCAGTAAAGGTCTGTTTGTAGTGAATGATCAGGATCCAGGACTTACTTGGAAGGGTTCATCAAGGGTGCTGTCCTATGGCAACTGCTGCTGTGAAGGGGGAATTTGGAATCCCAGCTCCAACCTTGGAAACTTGCTGCAAGCCAGGAGCTGGGACTCCGTTTGGAGTGCCCCTCTCCCCTCAACTAGTGCAGAAAGAACTGCGTTGGCTATAGCTGCAGGACTGCAAGCGTGACCTTGGAGGCAGCATTTTGTGGTTAAGGAAGGGAGGACATAGGTACTGCCAGCATGTGCAGTATCTTGGCAGCACTTCGGCCTCATTTCCTCATACTTCTGGGCAAAACACTTAGCTGCCTAATTGCCAACTAAGTGTTTTGCAGGACAGAAGTGCAGAGCTGGCTTTTTCTCCGTGTGCCTTTCACCCTCCACAGGATGCTTGGAATTCTCTGAGTTTGCAGAGTTAAAGGCAACCGTGTTGGATTGTGCTGCCTGAGTGGTAGCAGGGTATAGTCGTTATTTTAAGAAACTTTCCCTATTCATAATGCTGCTAGAGCCAGTTAATGACAAAATCTTGCTTTAATGATGTGCCATCTCTGTGGGAGTTCTGGTGGGGGAAGCTAGGTTTTTTTTTTGGTTACATTTCCATCCTGCCTTTCCTCCAAGGAGCTGAAGGTAGCTTACACGAGCCTTTTCCTCTCCATTTTATTTTCACAACATCCCTGTGAGGTAGTTTAGGCTGAAAGTCAATGACTGGCTCTAAATCACCCAGTGAGCTTCATGACCCAGTGGAGGACAGAAGCTGGGAGTCCTCAGACCTAGTCCAGTGCTCTACAAGTCAAATTTCTCAAGATAGATAGAAGCAGTTGTAAGATGTTGTGATTCCACTGGAGCAGCATAATATTGGTTTTTATTGCTGTGTGTTCATTTAATTCGCTTATATATGATGTTTAGCTTGAAGTCCCATAGTGGTCCCAATGTAGCATTTTTAGTAATACTCCAAGTCAGTCCAGATGTGCTAATATAACGGGGGTTCTTTAAAGACGGATTGACAAGATTGAACAATCTTTTCACAGGACAGGATTGAACATACACCCGTACAACATTTCTGAGTTGCCTTTTAGTCAAAGACTTCCTTAGACTTGCAGACGGTATGTTCAGGAAGAGCAGGGATATAATACTGGTTTGGGATCAACTCTGCAGCACAATTACTGCCATTAAGGTAGCTCGTAAAAGTGTAAGCTTATGCATATTTATTATTTATTTAAAGCATTTGTCTGCTGCCCAATTTTGCCACAGCACCTCTGGGTGGCTCACAATCACAAGATAACACACAATAAAAACAATGAAAACATCTTAAAATACAATGTCAATAAAAGTTGGACAAAAAAAACAAAAGGTCGAATGGCATTAACTATTAAAATATTTTTTAAAAAGGAAGGTCATTCCTTGGCACCGAAAAGAATATAAGGAAGGTGCCGGGCGAATCCCCTTGGGGAGAGCATTCCAAATATGGGGGGCAGCTGCAGAAAAGGCCCTCCTCCTAGTAGCCATCCTTCTCCCCTCCCTAAGGGATGGCTCACACAGGAGGGCCCCCCGCATAGATCTCAAAGGCCCAGTAGGCACATATGTGTGCAGGTACTCCTTAAGATAACCAGAGCCTAAGCTGTTTAGGGCTGTATATGTCCACACAAGCACCTTGAATTGGGCCTGGGCCACAACCGGTAACCAACGGAGTTCTTTCAGGGTTAGTCTGGCCCTTCTTGGCTCTGCCGCAAGATCTGGAACACCTGTGATGGTACTTTGGTGGATAAGAAATGTGGAAAGACTGAGCTCTGTACAAAATGATTGGCAATTTTGTTGAATTTTAATGACGGCCAGTGTGTGACCTTTGCATCTGGATTGCTGATTCTGGATTTCTGGACTAGTTTGGAAGATGTTGCTGTGCAATGTATTTACAAAGCCAGGTAGGCTAATTTAAATGTCTGTCCGTGTGTTTTATCATCCAATCAACTACTTCCAGAGGGTTAACTCTATTGCATTAAAACCAAGTATTATTGCACCTTCGAAGACCAGCACATTTATTATGATAGAAGCTTTTGTGGAAACTGTCCATTGCATTAAATGTCACCTTGATGTAAAGGCTGAAATATGATTCCATCTCTGATCATTATAAAAAGGACTTCAGGATTATTTTTAAGAAAAGCAAGACTGTGCACTTCATCATTGTTCTGCCTCTCCATTCTCCCTTTGACTTTTTCTTCCTTTTGCTGTAGCTCTGCTGAGACGAAAGAATTTGTGACATACTGATGACAGATTCAAGTATTTCCTATTATAGTGGAATAGTTGAAAAGGCCCAGGAAAGGTATGACATTGGCTGGAGGGAGGTGTAAGCTCAGGAGTATTCAGATTGCTTTGTCACTTAACTTTTTAGTACCTTTTCTATGCCATGCCTAAACCATTCATATCATTGTCTTACCAGCCTTTCTGACAATCTGTATTTTCTAAATATTCTTGCTATTGTGTGTTAAAGTTAATAGGCAGAATCCAGGGTCATGTATGCTCTCCAATCCACCCCCCCCCCCTTCAAATCCACAAGCTGTGGGCACTGCTGGCTCTTATGCAAGGGAAATTAAACTTCCTAAAGGAAGCCCCAGAATGAGTGTTTCTGGAAGAGTTAGCACAGCTCTCTTATGTGTCAGAAACAACTGTTGCTTTAAGTTGCACTAAGCTGATGTTGTGCAAATAGTAGGGAAATGCAATGGAATTGGTTCAGTGACATTTCAGTGTGACAGTCCAGCTGTGTCTGGAATGACAGACAAACTAATAGGTCCTAGATCAAATCAAGGTAGAACATTCCCTGGAAGCAAAAAAGAGGAAACTATCATACTTCACTGGAGACTCACTGGTGAAGACTAGGCAAAGTCAAAGGCAAAATAATAGACTGATTCCATAAAGGAAGTCACAGCCTTGAGTTTAAAAGAGCTGAGCAGGGCTGTGAAGGACAGGATATTTTGGAAGGCATGAATTCACAGGGTTGCCATAAATTAGAGACAACTTGTGGGCACATAACAAGAACAAAGAGAATCAGCAGGTCTCTAAGTGCCCTGCTGGAGTCCGCTTAAGATTTTCTGAATTTCAGGGGTATTATGCATCAATAAATTGATCAACTGCATCAATTAAAGACTGTGGTATTTCACACTAGTGATGCTTTGCCCCCAACCTACTGAGTTTCAGAGATGCAAGCTCAGGTTAGACCACCACCTTAGCAGAACTCCCAGGTGATGATGGTTAGTATTTCAGTCTAGGTATGTTCTTTCATGAAACTCCTGCATAGCCTTAAGTGCCTGAGCCCACCTAAACTTGGAAGCTGGCTGGAATCTGATGGTAGACTTGAGCAGGTAGTTGGACTTGATGGCCTTCCAACTGTACAGTTCTATGAGTCAAACTTTTGTATGTGCCTTTTTGAGCATAGGACTTCCAAATGTGTGTGTGTGTGTGTGTGTGTGTGTTTATAAAATCAGGTAAATGATTCCTCTAACTTTCAGAATTCACAGTTTCACAGTGTTCCAACTTTGGTTTGTCCATCCCAAATTTACAGTCATATTACCAAAACTGTCATGGTTTGGGAACCTTATTATGCCCTTTGTTGTTTCCCATCGTCACACAAATGATCAGGTAGCACCCTCAAGATTATATGATACATCATGGGTCCTCAAACTACAGCCCAGAGGCTGGATCCGGCCTGCCATGCCCATTCGGACCCGCCGTGTGTGCACCCGCACCCACATGCTGCCCACCTCGTCCCGTGAGAAAATGATCTCCAAGTGAGCAAGCCGCTGCCTCGTGCGCCCACCTCGCGGTGCGTGCCCGCCCCGCCTTGCCTTGCACTCCGCCTCAGCGCATGTGCCCCCACGCGCCACTCCCGCCCCCATCCCCTCACTGGCCCGCATGCCCCACCGGCACCACCTTTCCGGCCTGCACCCAGCACTGGCATCTTTCAACTGGCCCCCTGGTGAAAAAGTTTGAGGACCCCTGTGATACATGGTTTCCAAAGCTTGCAGTTTTGATCATTGATGACAGATGTTAGGGTCTCTTGGAAAAAGCTAGTGCCTGGAATAAGAAACTAAATATTAAGTGAACAACCTGTTTAATACTTCAGTACATACATAATAATTCTGCCTGGAACCCGTGGAGCTTGTTCACCCATAACTTCAACAGATGCCAAATTTCCGTTTTGCTTTGATGAGCAAGCCAATTCGCTATAGGTCAGAGAACCTTAAGTTGCATGTATTATAGAAACAGGAATTCTATTTCATTTTTAGTGGAAAGATTTCCTCACTAAATTGTATACATAATGAAGCCAGTATTATTTTTGGACAAAGAAATGATGATCGCAGTATTTTACTAAATGAAATGAAAGTGTCCTGCAGCTGTTCTTTTGTTAGGCTGTGCATATGTGTAATTACTCTGCAGCCCTACTCAAACAGACTTTTGCAAGGATATTAAAAATGCTTCACGCCACTGGAGCATTTAGAACGTCTACATGTGTAAAGTGGTATTGTTTAATAATATGGTGAGTCCTGGTCCCATAGTTGCAGGAAATATCTGTTATGTAATAAGTACCAGGAAGCAGCACATTTATTCTGGCATGTTTCCTGCACTTTCTCTCATGCCTGAAGCATTTTCATGACCCAAATAACACTGAGAGTTCATAGCAGTGTGTCTATTTCTGGAATACAAAGAAATATACACAGGAAATTGCAACGTTCAGAATACTGGTGTTTCTTTTTATTTAAGAAGAGAATAAAGCATTTTTAAATATATTAATTTTAAGTATACTACACTTAAACTGGGATGCTGGTTTGCACGTCAATAGTGTTCAAAACCAAAGGTGACTGCAATGGCCCCCTCCCACCCCAAATACTGATGCAACAAACAGATGACTTTAGAACAAACAACAGTTCAAAAGTCCCTTAGTAGAAAGGTAGGAATGGAGAGTTAATCAAAACACCAGCAGCTATAATGGCAGAGCAAGGTAAATGCTCTGAGGAAACCAACTTCCTTTGTTGTTGTTTTTACAGGTAACTGATTTTTCCCACTGTAAGGCATGATGGTTTGCTGTATGGTCACCAGATTGGTAGCCACAATCATGTGAACGGCTCCTAATACTTCAAAGTTGGGCCACATTAAGGATACAAAAGAAGTTTTGGCATTAGTAGTAAAGGAAGAATCTAGCCAGAACAAGAGCCCCAGAGCAGACTAACCCAAAATACTTTCACACATTACAAAAGTGACTTCAATTGGCTGAACACATGAGCCCCAGAGAGCATCCCATGGCAAAATGTGGCAAACACATAATGAGGTGACAATTTGATAGCAAAAGAGTGGAAATGGCCACACTGATTTACTTAACGCTTATGACCACCTTCTTGTATTTACTGAGTTTACCATACTGGCATACTCTCAAAACCAAGCCTAGTGTTTCAGCTGCCACAGTGGCAGCCATTTCTGAGGAACCGTGATCTTCAAGCCACTTGTGCAGGGGCTGGGCAAGATTAGCCACTGCAAAGAATGTGGCCCAGGGATCATAGTCCAACAAAGAACCATGCTTAAAAATGGGAAGATTTGATGATCAAATGACAAGAATCAAAAGGCAGATTGAACTCTTACTCGCACTAGCATAATTCTGAAGAAACATCACAGACTTTGGGTTTTATTCAGTACAACTAAAACAAGAAACTGGTCCAAAATTTCTTCAAGTATATAATACTGCTTGGTAAGTTAATACATCATTGCTACTATTATTCTCTCACAGGTGAGAACTCTGGTGTATGTAACCTAAGCTTAGTGAAATATAACACTGTTCATCTTCCTATGTGCAGGTGACCCTAGCTAAATATCACTTATTAGTATGTGACTAAAGAAGCCCAATTCTGCATTTCTGTGAAATGGATACTGATGTTTCCTGAGACTAGAGAGAGGCCTTCTGTGGGTGAATATGTGGTATAGCTTTGTGAGTTGTAAGGATAAATGGAGTGAAGAGAGCCTTGGGGAAAGGCAGCTTGACAACAAGTGCGCAATCAATGTCAAACAGTGTGATAAACAACCATATCCATGATGACAACTGAACGCAGTGTTTTGCTGATGGACTCCTACTTGCATGAGTCACCACATTCAGTTTTTGCAGGCTCATGCAGATCATGTCTTAAGGAACCAGCCACAAAAGACAGTAAGGAGAACCACTTGAACAGCAAGGCATGGGAAACCTACACCCACACGATGAGGCGGCTGTCCCTCCAAGCCAGTAATAGCACTTCTTGTTTGGCTTCTGGAAAAGCCCAGCTTAAATGAGTGATGACAACCTACTTAGGGCATCATCCAGCATGGCTGCTCGTAACCATCTGGATTTGAAGGATTATGGATGGGCATTTGATACAAGGCAGGAGGAGCACAGAGGTCAAGACTGCTGCCCTCCCATCACCTTCCAAAACATTCAGACAGACAGTTTTGGTTCTCTGGCTGTTTCTCCCCTCCTGTTGAGGAAAGGCTGAAACACCACCAGGATTACTTGAGGGATGCTGGTGCCTCACTCTTTCCTCCCTGTTCCCCAGATTGTCCCACCCTGTGCTTGCTCCAGAGATGGCCTTTGGAGCTCAGCCAGCATGGAAAGAACTGCAATGGCTGTCAGAATGAAGCAGGGGGTCCTCCAGGGGCTCAGTCCAAGCTCTGACCTTGGAAAGCATATCCAAGGTCAGAGCTGGGACTCCCAGGCAAAGTTGGAAGGCCACACAATCCATATCCTTTCTGAAATAAAATACTAGAAGAAATGTAGATCCTATGCACACTCTGCCTTAGGTAATATGCACAGAACAGTTATGTTTGATGAAGACATACCAGCAATCAATGACATTTCTCTTCAAGTTTTTTCAGTTGCAATGAACTTTCATTGTAAATATTGAAAAACCTGACCAATAAGAGAATGGCTTAAATGGGAAGAATATATTCCCCTGCAGAAAAGTGAACAGTCCAGTTAAAAGTCTTGCTGATGTACTATGTAGGTTCCTCATGGGAAGAAAAAATGGAAATAGAAGAGAAAGACTGCATGTACTGAAGTTGACTCCAGAAATTGACTTTTTAATTACTGTGTTTTGGATGTTCCAGGACATAGTAGGGAATCAGAGTTTAATCTTATGTTCTTTGTAGGAAAGCGAACGGTGGTTGTGGGGGAAGGTGAGGCTGTGGGTGGTTGGTCAAACTTCCTGCTTGTAATATCTGGTGCTGTGGTGATGGGAAGGGATTCCTTGTAAAAGCTTGGATACCAACTACAACTACGACATACAGCTTTTGCAGCACATTCAGGGATCCAGGCAGCTTGGAGCACTGACTGAAAGGATGTGACCTTGGACGCTTCCCACTTGCAAAACTCTCCAAGAGGCTCCCTTTGTGTGCAAGACATCAGTGTGAGAAGCTTCCAGGTCTCGGAGGCAGGAGGCCATACAGTGATCCCAGCAGCTTAAAAAGAAGAGCTCGGTGCTGCGTTTGCAGATGAAGTGAAACGAAAGCGGATTCACTTGCTGCTCTTCTTTTTCACCTTGGTGGCATTGATGTCTGCTTTCGTCTTCTGGATCCGGGAGAAGATCTCCTTAAACAGGGCTTTGTACTCTGGCTGGCTCTGCTCCAGCCTTTTGTCCACAGCCTCCACGTGTTTGCTAAGGCTCTTCTCCATTGTCTTGAGCTCATCCAGCTCGTAACCCTCTCCCCGAAAGTCTCTAAAGGAGCTGTCACGAGAGATGGGGCGGGAGGTCTGCACACCGGTGTGGCGTACGCTGTCCTTGTGCTGCCTGCACTTACTGAGGAGCTCCTCGTACTTTTCCAGCAGGGCATGGTACTGCTCATCCACCTCCCTCAGGATAGACATTCCCCTCTTGCGCACGTTGTTGGCATGGAGTGTGTAGTTGCCTTCGTGGCGACTCACCGCATCCTTGGTCACAATGGCATTGAGGGCTGTGTCGCTGCAGCTCTTCCGTACAGGGTGATTGGGCGAGGCTGCCATGGAGGAGTCATGGTTCTTCCCTCCATCTTCCTCAGACAGGTCGATGTAGTCAGCTTCTGGGGCATTGTTTAAGGGCTCCAGAAGTGCTTCCGAGAGGTTATCCTCTCTACTGAGAAGATACTTCTTGACTTGTTTCATCTGCTGGAGTTCTAGCAACTCTGCTTCCAGCTCTTTAATGCGCAGCTTGCAGCTCTCCATCTCGCACACCCTCTGCTCAAGGTCTGAGTACTCCTGGATGACAGATGTGTACTCTCTCTCTACCCTTTCCTTCCGCTGTTTCTCCTGGTTGACTTGGGACCGGAGGGAATTTACCATTGCTTGCAGTCGCTCATTTTCTCGCTCCAAGGGCATTTGACTGAACTCCATTGAAGAGCTGTGAATCTGGAATGCATCCTCATACCTAATATCAAAAAAACAATAGTTGTTAGTGATTTATTAAGTGTAGATGCCTAGAGTGGGCAGTATACCTATGAATCTAGTGGAATCTATGGATAAACTATATCTGCATAACAACAATGCACGGATTATTGGACCTTACATAGACCTTTCACACCCCATGTAAATAGAGACCTAAACCCTATTGCAACATGCTAGTTTTCTGCATACACAGAGTTTATTTTGCATGAGGGAACACTGAGACCTGCACTCTACTTATCAAAAAACTCAAGCATGGAGTGTGAAATGATACGTAACTTGTTCATATTTGCAGAGGCTGTTGCTATTAACTATTCCTTTCCTGTGCTAAACTGCCTCTAATAGAGTTACAAGAGTTAGCGGTTTTTCCATACAAGTGAATTCAGAGGAGAGAGAGAAAATCAGGAGCAGTGCCGAACCATTTGCCCTAGAAAGACTGATTTGGGCTCACCCATAAATGTGCACATCTGTGCCAGCACTGGTTTGTTAACCCTCTCCTTGGTCCATTAGAAATAAAAGCTTGTGGGACTGACAGGAGCTAAACTGGGAGCAAATCTCACAGCCTCCGTGCATTCACCGTGGCAGCCCAGTGGGAGCTGGATGGGAGAGGGAAAGGCAGCAGGGAAGCAGATGCAGTCCTTGCCAGGAAAGCCGTCTGGATGAGTCCTCTGAGCTGAGGATAGGGAAATACAATCTCTGCTCTTTAGGTTAGCTTGAACAGAACGGGTGAAAAGCTGCAAAGCAATACATCTTTTAAAATAACAGAGGGAATTCGGGCTTCCTGTAATTTACACACGCAAAACAAAGGAATGCTCTTATATGATCACATGACTGAGACATTGCACAGATGGTTACTTCTGTAACAGCATGTGCAACTCCATTACCACTCTGATGGGATTTAGTCTGAACCACACTGGTAGTCTGATAATTGTACACACTTAATGGAGAAGCATGAAGAACAGCCTGCTTGTTCCATTCCCCCCACTTTTCTCCTCGCGGCTGCTCCCCTGAGCTTCCCACTAGACCTGTCTGCATGTCAAGACAGCTCACTGTCAGATAATTTTCCCATGGGGGATGCCATGTCATGCAGGTGACCATGTGGAATATTTGGAGTCAGGACAGTGGCTTGTTGTGTCGTGAGTTCCCAGTAAGAGTGGGCTAACAAAGACATGGCTAACCACCCAGAATCCATGGGCTGTTTGAAGGCTGTTGGCAGTAGATGTTGGCTAGCCCCTCACCTTGGCTGGATTTTCACATGAGGTGACAAGATGAATTTGTGGTTTGAATATTCAAAAGCCAGTTGCCATACATGGTAGAAATATAAGCCACCAGGTCATGCAACTTGCTCAATCACAGAGGTTGTTCTATTCCATTTATCTTTTAAAGCAGGGGTCCTCAAACTTGTTCAACAGGGGGCCAGCTGAAAGGTGCCGGCAGTGCTGGCTATGGGTGTGGGCCAGCGAGGCGAGGGCGGGCGCACGGTGAGGCAAGCTGGGCGGGTGTGCGCACAGCGCAGTGGTGGCTCGCTCGCTCAGAGATCATTTTCTCTGAGCGAGTCCAAAACCTCTGAGGCGGGCCGGATAAATGGGCATGGCGGGCCGGATCTGGCCTGCGGGCCATAGTTTGAGGCCCCATGTTTTAAAGGAAATGGTTGCACTGCTCTTTGAAAGGCTGGCATGCATATCTAGTTGAGGATTATGATACTGCTCTGTTTCACATTTTCTTGTTATGGTTTCTTTTTTGTAAATTATAACTGTTTACTGTTATATGCATTGTCTACTTATTTTAACAGTCATTTTTAAAAACTATGTAAACTTAGATATTATGCTAAGCAGGATACAAGTATTACTTTAAACATATGCCTAATAAATATGCACACATCCTTTCATGTACAAAGTTTTACTTATATATAGTGCCATCTCTATAAATCATAAATGGGTAACTTCAGGCAGTTGGGAGGTGTCATTTTCATTCCTCACTGTATGGGCCATACTCTTATGGGTGCTCCCCAGTTTTGAAAGGGAAAAGTACTGTTTTTTCATTAAAATTAAGCATCAAGAGTTAACTTTAGCTTTCTTCCTTTTTGTACATCACGGAGACCGTTTTTGTTGCTTTAGTTTTTATTTCCTTAATTTGGAGGTGCAGTGGCCACATACCATCACTGTGTTGCCTGCCCTGGCTTTTAACAAGAATATGAACCCTTGCTCTAATGTCTAAATTGCAACTGCAGGAAAGACAAGAGAGGAAGGAAAGGTCTGTTACATGTACCTAAGCTTAGCTTCAAGGGATAAGAGGCATTAAGCCATGAGTTCAGAGGCAAAAATGGACTAAGGAAAGATCCAGTGATGAATAATGACCAAAAGGCCACTGTGTCTCCATGTTGTATATTATAGGCTCTGTCCAGTTGTTGACTGCAACATTTTCAGCAAAATGTACAGTCCTACTGTCAGATATGCTCCTGGGAACATGTTTTGCTCTTCCAGGGCATTGCTTGAAGCATTAAACAAACTTACTAATCTGATTTAACTAGAGACCACAGATAGAGCAACAGAATTAATATGTCACCATAGGGTTGGAGAGCTCATCTTTGAAAGTTATCGCCAAGTCTCTAAAAATATAGTTCTGTCAACAGCCTTTGAAGTTGCCCTGAGTGAGTGGGAGGATGATTATTAAAAAAAAAATGCGGAGAACTAATGAACCCACTGGAATAGCACTTCCTTCAGTTATGTCATGGAGGGGGCACAGAACCCTGGTTTCTCTCTTCCAGCACATATTCTTCCCTTCTGCTAATAAACAGCCTGAGGCACATTCATTTAGTTAAAACAGATGTGGGCAGGAATGAGCCATGCCATCTCCCCCTCATCCCATTCCATTCTAGATCAGGAATGGCTGGGTAGGAGGGAGTATTAAAAATTCTCCAAGCTGCCAGAACTCACTGTTATCTACCCCCCAAAAAGGTCAAATATAAATTTTAAAGTACAACATGCATAGTCCTAAGGCACTCTGGATAAGGTATTATGGGAAATATTCATGTAGGCATGAAACAGTTTTTGCTCAGGGTTAGCCTGTGGTCTGCTTTCTTCCTTTCATTACAAGAGCAGAAATTTTGTTTGCTGGGTTTGCAGTGGATTGGGTTTGCTATGAGATTTGTTGCTTGCTTAGACCGCTTCTGCTGGCACAACACACCAAATATCTCTGAAAGGCGGATTGAATTGCAGCTGGATGTGGTGATAAAGGAGGCCTCTAAACATCCTTTTTTTTTTAAAGGAAGGAGAATATACTAGGGTTAGATCCGATTTAAACTGAATCAGCTGTGCTGAATCACCTGAATCTTGCCCCCCTTTCCCACAGCAGTGCATCCGCCTCCCCCTGAAAGGCTAGACAGGGTCAGGACACCTTGCAGAATGGTTCACAGGGAGGTGGAATCCCTGAAACCTGGGTGGAAGAACCTTCCACAAGCAGAGCGTTTCTTCTGGCAGAAGGTCCCTTCCTTTCAAGGACTGCTGATTCTGGATGCAACCATAGACATTTTCGCTATCCTAGTAAAGGGGACAGTTGGATCCTTGTGGGGACACTTCCAGATGGGAGAACTTTCAAGTGGGAAAGGAGCTGAGTCAGTGTGCATCCCACATGCAATGCACATGACAGGACACTGACTCAGCGCCTTTTGGTTACTGGTAAGCCAGGATCAGTACAGGTTATTCAGGCGATAGCAGGCTGAAAAAACAACAGAGTCCTGAGGCACCTTAAAGAGTAACCCATATCTGGTATGAGCTTTACAAAGTTTATTTCAGAATAAAAGTCTTAGTAACTCCAAGGTTGTGACCTCTTTTATGGAGTCAGTCCATCTCTTCTTCTTTGTCTTCTGCCTTTGACTTTCCCTAGCATGATTGTCTTCTCTAGTGAGTATTGCCTTCTCATGAGGTGACCAAAGTATGACAACCTCAATGTTGCTATTTTTGCTTCTAGGGAAAGCTCTGACTTGATTTGATCTAGAACCCACTTGTTTGTTTTTTGTCAATCCAGAAATATATATCCAGGTATTTGCTCAGCTCTCCTCCAGCTACTTTACTTTCAAGTTACTTTAGAGCAGGGGAAATTCAGCATTTACTTGTGGAGCAAATGAGTGATTTCCTCTTGTGTGTTTGCGCTACTGCACCGTGCTGCAATGCTATGTACAGGTTATGATGCGTCAAAGGAAACACTGTAGTGCTTAGATCTCAGGTCTGCAATGAAACTGAAGGGAAATACAGCAGATTAACAGTCTTGTGCAGAAAAGCTGTCCTATCTTGTGGGCTGCACAGGTTTGAAAGGTATTGGGAGTAAGATTTCTGTAAGCATGCTCACTGACCTTCTCCTTCCAATCCACAAAGTTGGTCCGAACTCAGTCCTGGGAAGGAATATCAGACGGTGTGACCTATGGGCTTGCAAAGCGCAGTGACCCTTTGCTCTAAGGCACACATACTGTACATGTGCCTGTTATTCACAGGAGTGCCATTCAGGGAGAGGAAGCAGGGCAGTCTGCTGCAAGCTGACTTTAAAACCACACTGATTATTTCTTAGGAACACCTATTTCTGTCCAGGAGTTATCATTACCTACCATTTAAGGGCCCATGTGCTAGATATGCATAGCAAGGTCACAAAGTCCTTAGTTTTTTTAAAAAAACAAAACTACAGCATAAAGGCAGAGGGTGGCTATCCTGTGGTGACAACGCGGCTATAATTGCAGTTATGACTTCAAAGATAATCACCAGAGACACTCCTGTAATACATTACATTTTTTACAATCCAAGAACAGGAATTTGGGCCCGAGTAACTCCTTCGTTTACTAAAATCTCACTATGCCCCATCCCACCCATAGAATTTGAAATGCCATCTATATTTAATAGCACCCTTATCTAGCTAAGGGAAATCCATCCATGCCTTCTCTTATGCTGCCTATTGGACAACAAAGTGGGAAGTTGAAAATAGGACTCATTTGCATGCCCACATCAGCTGTTGCAGAGGACTGCTGGAAAGGGATCTTCAGGTCCATTCTATCTGATACAGGAGCGCACTTGCCTCAGAAAGTACAGCCTGGAGCTGCAAGGGCATCTGCAACTGATCAAAACCAACCAGTCTCTCATCGAGTATTGGCCCTACTTTTAAAATACATGTTCTTTCCCTCTTTTTACTTCATAAAATGTTGACAACTGAGGCGTGGTCGAGTGCATGTGAGGTGGCGTGAGCACGCATGGCGGCAGCTCGCTCGCTCAGAGATCTCCCAGGGAGTGCAAAACCATCTCCAAGTGAGCAAGCCACCGCCTCCAGCTCATGCTGCAAGGCAGCAGCAAGCACATGTACATGGGGGAGGCAGGTGGTGGCAGCTTGCTTGCTCGGAGATGGTTTTGAACTCACTGGGAGATCTCCCAATGAGTCCAAAACCATCTCCAAGTGAGCAAGTCACCGGCTCCCGCTCACGCGTGGGCAGTGGCGTGGGCCAGATGAATGGGCATGGAAGGCCGGATCCGTCCCGCGGGCCGTAGTTTGAGGACCCATGAATTAGACCCTTTTACCAAACTTAAGCTTACAAAATGATGGCGACATGCCTGGGCCTTGACACAGGGTGCCAATCCTACACGTTTAGACTGAAGTAAGTCTTACAAGTCCCGCCATCACCCCTACTTGCCATACTGAAAGGCTTGCAGGACTTCCTTGGATTTAAACTTGCATAGGATTGTGCCCTAAGGGGCTGGGGATCCTCAGTTTCCTCAGGAATGGCCGTCTGATAAAGCTGTGAATTGTGGTACAGTTGGGAGCCACATATTCTAGCACGTACAGCTGACAAGGAAAAAGGCAGATGCCAGAGGGCCAAAGCTAGTGAAAACTCACTGCTGCTTTGTCAACATGTAACACTTTTCTAGATCATCCGATGGTCCAGGCTGGAATATTATCAGGAATAAGTACCTGGGACTGGAGCACAGCTCTTTGAGGCAAGGAAACGTATGGATGGTTCTGCGTCTCTCTCGCTTCTCCCGGCGGACACGCAGCTGATCTAGGCTCTGCAGCTCTTCCACTTGCTTTTGCAGCTCGTCTACTTGGTTCTGCAGCCCTTCAATGGTTTCTGTCAGACTGGATGTAAATCCAGAGTTGATGGGAAAGAGAATGAGAGAATGCTAGATTGTCCTCCAAATGTGGTACAGGTGAACTACAAGAATGTAAGAACTGATGCTGAATCAGATCAGGCTCCTTCTAATCCAGCACTCTGTTCACCCCATGGCCAACCAGATGGCAACAAAAACATGCAAACAGTAGGGTAACATGACCCTCCCACCAATGTTCCCCAGCTACTGGCACATAGAGGCTACTACTTCTGGAACAGAATAGAGTTCATGATGAGTAGCCATGGATAACTTCCATGAATTAATCCCATTTTAAAGCCATCTGATTTGGTGGGCATCACTACATCTTGGGGAAGCAGTGGCACAGCGGCTTAATGATGGAACTGTTGGCCAGAAATGGTCAGCACTCCAGTGGTTCAAGCCCAGCCTCTGCCAGATGGAGTGAGCTCCCGAGCTCCTCGCCAACCTCCTTGATAAATAGGTACCACCGATAAATAGGTATCAGTGGGAAGGTAACAGTGCTCCGTGACATCATGCTGGCCGCATGACCACGGGAACATCTTCGGACAGTGCTGCCTCATGGCCTCCGAAACAGGGATTAGCACTGCCCCCTGTTAGCCACTGGCTAAGCAGAATAAAATCCACAGGGACTTCTTTACCTTTACAGCATTTTGTGGGGGAGAACACTATTGCTTAACTATGCATTTTGTGCAGAATGCTTCCTTCCCTCTGTCCTGAATCTTCCACCAATCAGCTTCATGGCCCCAGGTTCTAGTATTGTAAGAGATGAAGAACAGCATCTCTTTATCTACTTTCTCTACATCATGCGTAATTTTCTACAGCTTTCCCCTCACTCACTATTGTGGTGGTAAGATATACCATGGGGAACTGGGCAGGCTACCCACCTGCCTCCCTTTTTCCCAGGTGCAGTAGTCTGGAGCTCCAGGAAAATGACTGCATCCGTCCTTAAACAAAATCGTATTTGTTTGTGCCCACATCTCTGGCCCCCAAATTACAGTGCTTTTTTAGTACCATCCACACAGAGGCAGCTGCACTGAATACAAGCACATTCAACAGCTAGGTCTCTTTGACCTGAGCATCCTACCCTGGAAATATGTTCATATATTGGGAGAGCATAATCGTGCTGTTCTCTGGGCTGAGCTAACAGCCAGTACATTTTACATTTCTGCACACTCTGAAACATTCCTTCAGGGGCTGGCCAAATCACTCCACTGAGACATTAAAGGAGTCCAGTGCAAACTGCAGGACGCGCTAATCCTCTTATACGTCTCTTGGTTCACATAATGAAGCAGCCGGTCATGGCTTATTTATTTAAGTCATGGTTGGCTGTTGTGCATGTGGGTAGTCAGTTATTCAAGCCATGACAGGCTTGTTCTGTCATCCGAACCAACCAAATATGAGTTGCTGGCATGTTTAACAAACCACCCACAACCCTAACACAACCCATCATTTCTTGGTAGTTTAACCATTGCAACAACCCATCATCATTGGAGACAGCTTGACACTAACTTGGATGTTCACTGCTTGAATATGCAAAAGTCATCCAGCATGTACCACAACTGCAACCCACCCCTGATCATATGGATATGTGATCATACGAACGCGGGCCACATGTCTAGTCACCCACCATTGTCAGGTAGCTAGTTAACAACATTCTTATTTGAAATTAAACTCCTAATACAGAAGAAAAATGGTTTCCCTATTTGAGGACAAATCCTGTATTCCCACAGGATTATCCCCACAGTTCTTTGGGTCTACAGGGTTTCCCACTGTTAGACCCAGTTTGCTTCATGTTCATCTTGAATTTTGTTTGGAAGCAGCTACAAAAATAACACTGTATTTGTATAATTTTAACTTCTGGGAAAAAAATAATCCCAATCAATGCTAAATACTTTTTTTTAATTGTCAGGCAATTGCCAGAGATGCAACCTCTACCACTCCATGTTCAACATGAGCAAAGCAGACCAGTGACTGAAAATATAGTTCAACTAATGACATGTATACTTTGGGCTCAAGACAGGTATATAGAAACACACACGAACTACCTTACTTCAGACAGAGTGCTTTTTACGATGACTTTAAGGCTGGAACCTAAATTGTAAACTTCAGGGAACAGCCAAATAGATTTCCTTTATGCTTGCCTATCCATGATCATACCGTACAACTTCATTCTGAGATGACAGCTCAGTGAGCTGGCTCTCGTGATAATTTCAGTCATACTTTCACAATCATTATACAAACCACCCAGGTTTGCAGCATGTGCTTTGTAACTATTTCTGTAACCCAACCTCTGTCATACTGTCTGAATCCAGTGAATGTGGGTAATTAACAGTGTTAACAAACCACTCACAACGCTAAAACAGTCCAGGATGACCTACGAATGGGTTGAGTTGCCTTACTGAAGCCACCACTGCTGAAAATGAATACGCAAACACACCCATAAGTCACTTCAAAGTAGAAATCATAGCTCATCTAAAGTCCCGCCCCGCCGAGGAAGCATTACCATTGTATCTTCTGCTGAGATGTCTTACTCTCCAGCACAAGCTTCTGATTGGCCAGTTCCAGGTCCCGTGCTGTCACGTCCAGCTGCTCATAAACCTTGGCATGCTGCTCATTCATATGTCGTAACATCTCCAGCTGTTTTGTCAAATACTGGACAAGAAAGGGTAAGAAACCCACAAAGTCAGTAGGAGTATAGTATCCATTAAACAACAGAGTTTAGATGAATAATGTATTAATCTTTCCAAAATGCTGTCCTACAGATGTTTTTTGACTGCAAGTCCCATCATCTTCCCATCAGCCAGGTAGTTCAACAAATCTGGAAGGCAGCAGGTTCTGGAAGGGTAGGTTAGAGGAATCAATTAAAATATTTTGATTGACAAAAAATGTGGCCCTGGTTAACTGGGCAGTTTATTTTTTAGAAATTATTTTTAGTATGGCCAGTTATAAAAACCACAGATGGCAACTGCTATCGAAAAGTCTTTTTTCTCACACAGAGGGGAATGTCTTATTCTTTGTGAAGCACTTATTTGAGATAAGCGTGTATGATCTGAATCAGGGGTCCTCAAACTTTTTCACCAGGGGGCCAGTTGAAAGGTGCCAGTGCCGGGTGCGGGCTGGAAAGGTGGTGCTGGCAGGGCATGTGGGCTGGGCACACATGTGCACTGAGGTGGGGGGGGGGAACGGGGGCCCCGGGGGGCAGGGGCCCGCAGGGGGGGGGGGGGGGGGGGAGGCAAGGCAGGGGGGGGCACATGCCGTGATGCAGTGGCTTGCTCGCTTGGAGATCGTTTTCTCCGAGCGAGTCCAAAACTATCTCCTCGCGAGCAAGTCACTGCCTCTCCGTGTGGGGGGCGAGGTGGGTGCGTGCGGTGTGCGCGTGGTGCGTTGAAAACCTCTGAGGCGGGCCGGATAAATGGCCATGGTGGGCTGGATCCAGCCCCCGGGCCGTAGTTTGAGGACCCATGATCTAAATAAAAGGATCCCGTTAAAGAATTTTATAGGAAAATTCCTGCATATTTAATTTAATGAGCAATTAACAGATTAAAATATGATAAATTAAGACAATGACAGGTCTGCCATCTCTAACCTTATTTCAACAATGATATTTTAACAGCTATCTGGCTTTGTAATTGACCCTATGTTTGGTTTTAGTTGATTTCAATGTGTTTTATTTAATGTTTTACATTATATTTTAATTTTGCTGTATTATCTTTTATATTGGGAATATAATGTTTTGAATATGTTGATTTAAGGTTATTAATTTTAGAATGTTGTGTTGTTTTTATATTGTGAGCCATGCACAAAACCCAGATATGGACTATTGTAGTGGCACATAAATTCATTAAACAAAAAAAGAAAGGATGGATAGAGCAGTCTATTTCAGGTCTGTGTCTGTTTCACATTTGTTCATAAATCTGTTCTGTCCTATTTCTGCATTAATCTGAAATCTGCACAAAAATTCCTACTGGCATTTTCATATAAAATAAACATTTTAACTGCATTTAACTCAAAGTATACATTTCTAAACAAACTTTATCCTAAAACATGCATTTTATATGTATTTTTTGTATTTTTTGAGTGAGAAACTGCATCATAAAATTTGAAGAAGTGAGACATCTGAAGGAATAGTGTGGTCTGATCTACAAATCAATCTGAGAGTTTCAGATTAGGTTAGTTTCTATCTGAATTTGCAAAGCACACATTCCTCAAATCTTTTCCTACAAGAAAGTGCCTTTCCAACATTTCATTAGAACATAACATCTTTCTAACTGTGTTTCATGTCATCTTCACACCTCTCTTCAAGAACCCTGGCAAACGGAGTGGCATTCATTGACTTGGTTTGCATGATCACATGGGTTAAACAAACCACTGTGGCTTGTTTAAGCTGTGGTGCATCCCAGGTGTCATTTGCTTAATCACCTGCCCAACTTGTGGCTTATTGTGTTGTCTGCACATGGATGGCATGGCTTGATGGAGAGAGAAACAAGAGGCAAATCAGGTGACAGCAGCCCATTCATTATTTCAGGGTTGTTTCCCCCTCGAACAGGCTGTGCTGCCTGGCTTTGGATGCTATAACAAGCTGTGCCCGGGTGGATAACTAGGCAAGTGGCCCCCAGCAAAGGCTGCAATTTAAATAAACCATGGCAACCCTGCCAGATTGCCTGGGATGTACTGTGTGAACAGAACACAGCTACCTCAAGTTAAGGCATTTACTTTTGGAACTTCCATTCCAGTTTTAAAAGCCCAGAAACAGAATCTTGGGAGAAAAACACCTTTATTTTTCAGCTCAATTCCATGCTGCCAATATTTCTAGTACAAAAGAGCCAATTTCTCCCTCAGAAACAAACCTTTTGCTTGCTTGCTTGTTTAAAGACCCTTAAGAGTATGCGGGCTTTTAAAACCCCATATTCTTTCCCTCAAGTTCCACGACCATCACATCTAAAATTTACTGTTTAAAAGCAAGGCAAACTACTATTTAGACATAGCACTTGTTTAACCTAGAAATATGTGGGAAAGTAGAAATTTAGGGGGAAATGAATACATTGTGTCAAAGGGGAACAGTGCATTTAGCCCCATTTCAGGGGCTTTGCTAATGAAGCTCACAGTGACCCTTGCTAAAGCTGCCACTCAGAATGAAAACATATGGGGTGGGGGTGGGAGGGCTTCCCTAGGGTGAACAACACTGCTATGTCCTAGGCCTTAATCCGCCTCTGTTTCAGCCCGTTCCATATGTGTCGTCACCCCTCCCACTAATAACCTGTCTCCACAGCTGTGGTGCACACTGATTATACCAAAACAGCAAAAATGCCACAAAGCTCTCCCACGTGTTTTCATGGCCATGCTCAACATGTGCAAAAAGCGTGCTCTGGGTTATGGCAAGCCTGTGCTTCATTTGCCAGCGACTGCCATCAGTACCTCTATTTCTTGGACTTGTTCCTCGTTGGTTGTGTACATCTGTTGAAGAGAGTCCTCCAGTTCTTTGTTGCGCTCCAGCAGCGTCTTCCCCAGTTCGGCTGCTAAATGCAAGTCTGGAAAGTAAAAGCGAAGAACTCATTCAAGGCATTTGTCCAGACGCTTTGGAAGAGCACACATGAAATTGCCAGGGCTGATTTTGTCATCTGACATATGTTTAGCCCACTTTTCCAAGGCTCAAAGCAGCTAAGAAATCACTAACAACATGATTCAGACTTATAAAAATGAAAACATCTGAAATGAATGCAGCGATGGTACAAAATAAGCAGTTTTATACAGGAGCTCAACTATGGCAAATGTCTTCTAACTGCAAGGAATGTTGCTATAGGATTTGATCATTACTTCCGTATTTCTTTGGATTCTTTCCTCGACACAGATCAGGACTCTACTGAGGAACCAAGGTTTTTGATCATGGTCACAGAATGGCATCATCTCTCTTCAATGAGATTTTTTTTCATAGGAAATAAGTTATTGCACTGCTTAATTTATTTATGTGTGAGTTATTTATTATTATTTATGATTTATTTAACAGCTCAGTTGCAGGCAAATTATCCTAATTATCCCACCCTGGTGGGAAATGGAAGAAGGCAGGGCTGCCACTGAGGTGTAAATTGTATTTTTACCATTTTAATGTTGCACTATCACTTGTCAATCATGGTGAGGGCCTGCAGTGAAGGCCAGCATATAGAATCCATAATGACGATGACAATAACAGCAGCAGCAGACCTGTTCCTTCCAACATGAATTTGTTTGCAGCCATTACAAAAGACTAGAGGAGAGGAGTGTCTACACCTCATCATGGAAGGCTTTCCAGTGGCTCAGGGCAAATCAGATATGAGCCCTGCTCCTGGCAGCATATATTTTTATCCTCTGAAACAAAGGCACTTAGAGTAGTGCTTGACCTACAAAGCTCATGGATAGCCTAGAAGGCATAAGGGCCCCAGGCTAGGAAGGGCTTTAAAGGCACCAGCACTTTTGATTCCACCTGGAAGCAAACTGAAAGGCAGTTTAATGCTTGCAAAACCAGTTGAATGAGCTTTGCCATCTATCAGGATGAGAACACTTGAGCATTTTGAATCAGCTATAGCTTTTGGCACATCTATTTGAGGAAGATCATTTACATCTTTCAAAGTTTGAGAAGCCACCAGGAAGGCTTTATAGAGTGTCCAACTTGCCCGAAGGGATGGGAAAAGAAGGGAAAACTTGGTGAGCTGCCACAACCCAGCTTTCAGTGGTGGGTCCCTCCCTTTCCTAGCTGTCACCAGAAGGGCTTCTGAGGAATCAACCTGCCTGAGGGGATAGGAGGAGAAGATTAAATTTGAACTCATGAACAGAAAACAACAGGGAGAAGAGAAATGGCAGAAGAGAGCAAAAGGCCAGCCCTGAAGGAGAACAGATGCAGGTGCACACGTGAGTAAAATCAAATTTGAATCAAGCATCCCCATTGTGTATTTTCCTCCTCTTCCCTTCTAATCCCATCCCTTAAGTCTCCTGTCTTTTGAGATTGTAAGGCTGAGGATAGAGACTGTCTTAATTGATGGTTTATTTATTTATTTGGTAAGTTGCTCTGGGGAGCCTTTTGGCTGAACAGCAGGGTACAAATACTTTGAATAATCAATAAACACTCTCCATGTACTGCCAATAGCTGAAGTGCTACTGGCAAGCTGAAACAGGTAGAGGATCCTCTCCGAGGCAAGGAAGCACCTGGGCTGTGGAATTCCTCCTGGACCCCTCTTTTGAGGCCTTCAAGACATTCCTATTCCGGGATTTAACTTGCCAAGCTGGGCTTTTAGTGAATTGACCCCATGTTAGCCACTGTGATTCTCTCTTGCTCTCATGGCTAGCTGTGCTGCATATTTTACAATGTGTTTCCATGGCTTTTAAAAATGGCCTTAAGCTGCCCTGTGCATTGTATTTGCAATGGACAGTGCAAAATATAAGTATTTCGAACAAGGGCAACAACCAATGCAATGGGGGTCCTGCAAGTGCCACCCAAGAACCCACGCTCTCATTTCAGGCTGTTGAGATTATCTTCTCTTGCGGCTTTTCTGAGCTGGTGTTCACAGAGGCTGAAACTCTCCAACCAGTTCTCCAGTCAATAGGAATGATGTTCAGTGCCTTATAGGGTCTGCCTTGGAGCTAACAAAGCACTTGCAGATGGTGGGTTTATAGTTATGTCACAGGGCTGACTAATCCCCTTGAATTTCATCCATCTCTCCTTCCTGACAGTGTTTCCCTGAGCGTGCGGGTAGGAAGCTGTCTCTTTCTCCAGTCTCTCTCCGCAGCTGCCTCTGCCAGTGCCTGCCTGATCCCCTTTTTCTCTGAGAACATGCGAGAAGCCCGAGGAGTGTGGGGGCTCCTGCTGGAAGGACGCGCTGCTACAGATGCCTACATGTGTCAAGCGCGAGTGCCGCTGCCATTTAAGTGGCAGACCTCTGAGACAGCACAGCTGTAGGGTAAATTTCCCTAATTATCCTACCCTGGTGGGAAGCAGAAGGGGGCAGTGCAGCCACTGAGGTGCTAATTGAATCTCCCCTTGGTTTCCCTGGGCTTTAATGAGCAGGGCTTCTGGGTAACTATTGTTTGGATCTGGTTGCTATAGCAGAAGGTGGAGACCAAAGACACCCCCCTGCCTTGTTTTCATCCGCACCCATCCCCACACTTATGGGCCTCAAGCTTCAGAACAGAATTAACAGGTTTGCAATCCAAATGCCTTTCCTGTAATTAGTGCTTTTGGAATCATACACGGACCTCAGCTTATGTCAAGCAAACTGACTCCACTGAATGGATTAATCATATCCTGTACAGAATTTGAAGGGGGGTTGTTAAACAAGAATAACTAAATCAGGGTCAACCTGCCCTATATTGCAGAGAGAAGATGGCGTGCAAAACCAGAATTCAGTCACTAGAAAATTGGCTTTGTCTAGTCTTCCTTTGCCGCTTAAAACCTGTCAGGAAGTACACAGAAGGCCCCATATTACACAGAGTCCAGCCTAAACAAATGTGCTGCTGTTTCTTGATCCAGTTATATACTGTAGGTTCTTTCTTAGGAACCTCATCTCCAGCTCTGAATACCGTACCCTAGGGTAAACTCTGACGACTGACAGACTCTTAATTTTGCTAATCTCACAATTCAGAATTCCCTGGTCGGGAAGCTGCACTATCTGAATGGGTCTGATTAAGAGAGAGGTGCAATTATTGTCAGAGAGAGTTTTATACAGCCATCCCCAATTTTCACAATACCCCCAGGAGACGGAAAGTGTGATGAAGAGGGTTTAGCACTGGAAGAAGTAAATGGTATAGGCCAGTCTATGTCAAAAGGGAAATTTCATATTCATCAGCTCTTTTGAGGTGATTGAAATCCAGTTCTTCTGCTTTAAAGCTTACTTTTTTTGCAGCTGATAGAGATTGTACACAGTTTATCCCACACAAGGTGATCTGGCTAGCATGATAGGCATCAACCCAGAAGTAGTCCCTCTGCCGTGCTCCAGGTAGCAACACCTATGATTCTCCTGTGTCCTGGAGGATTATGTCTCACCATATGGCATCCAATTTAATCTGCTGGGGTTGAGTTGAGTGGATTAGGATGCCCGGGATCCAACACCATGTTTTTACAAAGTCCTTTAGCAATAATTTTTGCACTAACCAGAAGACATATAAATAAAGGAGGAGATGTATACAGTTTAAGGAAAGAACACATTCTTTTTCCAGGACTGAGTAAGGCTCATAGAAAGACAAACAGGGTTTATTTTAGTTCTGCCTGCTTCTTTCTACCATCATATTAGTTCTAGGACTCTGCATGCACACCTGTGTACACATACAACAGACAATTAGCAAGAATGTCATGATAAACTGAAAATCAAAGCTAATGCTGAAAGGAAGCTGTAGGAAGGAGCTGAGGTGTATGTACACCAATGCTAGGAGCATGGGTAATAAGCAGGAAGAGCTTGAAGCTCTCCTGGGAATAGGAGGGTATGACCTGGTGGAGATCATGGAAACTTGGTGGGATGAAAGGCAAGACTGGAATGTAAACACAGAGGGGTATCACCTGTTTAGAAAGGATAGGAAGGGAAAGAGGGGTGGGGGCGTAGCTTTATATGTCAAGGAAGGGATAGGATGCAGTGTGATAGAATGCAGCGCAGATGGGGATCTGGTAGAGGCAGTCTGGTGAAACTAAGGGGTCTTGACAGGGAGAGGGGTCTGACAGTGGGGGTATGTTATCACCCTCCAGGTCAGCTTGAGACCCTGGATGATGTCCTGACAGATCAGATTCTAAGGATATCTCGGGGAAGGGGCATGGTAATTATGGGAGATTTCAATCTTAGTTGGGAGACTCACTCAGCCGTGACAGCCAGGTCATGTCGCTTCCTAGACGCTATAGAGGGAGGGTTTTTCATGCAGAACGTCCAAGAGGTGACCGGGGGGGGGGAGGGGGACATCCTTGACTTGGTTTTGACCAACAGGGAACAGCTGATAGATGAGGTACAGATTAGGGGAGCTCTGGATGCAAGTGATCACTCCATTCTTTACTTTGAGATCAGGAGAACAGGGATGGGCAGCTGGTCCAGCACTAGAAGCTGGTACTTCAAGAGGGCCAACTTTGGCCAACTGAAGGCCAGACTGGGCAAAGTCTCCTGGGATAGGTTACTGGAAGGCAAGGGAGTTGAGGAGGGGTGAATGGCACTCAAAGGGGAGGTTTTGGAGGCGCAAGCCTTGATGATACCTCTAGGCAGTAAGGCAGGGAGATGAAGGAGTGCTGCCATGGATGCAAAAGGAAGTGGTTAGAGGAATTAGATGCAAGAGGAACCTTGGTAGGAAATGGGTACTGGGGCAAATAGACAAAAGGGTATACCAGGAGGAGGAGGCCCGTTGCAGAAGGATTCTTCGCAAGGCTAAGGCTGATTATGAGCTGAGACTTGCAAAGAATATCAAGAGCAACAAAAAGGGCTTCTATCAGCATTTAAATGCAAGGGGAAGGGGAGACAGGTAGTGGGACCGCTAAATAAGGAGGAAGGGGATCCAGTGACTGATGCGAGGGAACAAGCACAGATGCTAA